TTTTACTCTTTCTAATATCTTCACAGATATTGTTTAGGAACTGAATAAGTTCTGCAATATTTTTACTGAGAAGTCTTACATAGTTATAATCTTTGAAAATATTATCTATCCTATAAATATTTTTAAATTTATTAGTAAGGATTTTTGTAAAGTACTTTTTGTTACTTTTAGCAAATCTATAGGTCTTGTATTTGCCAGATTACATCTTCATGGCTTAAATTTGAGATTGAATAGATATAGCTCTGTTTTTATTATGTTAAAGTTATTTCTTATTTTAAAAAAGTTATTGAACATTCTTCTTAAATATTCTTTTCCTTTAGATCCTAATATCTTCAATATTTTATAGCTGATTTGTAATTTTTCTAATGTTTTATTGTTTGAAAATTTTATAGTACTTCACTTAATTTCTTTTGTAAGATTGACTTTAAGAGGTTTTTATATCATCTCTTTAATATAATTTATGGGCTTGTATTATGCTTTCCAATTACTTGTTAGGTTGTCAAAATCAGTACTTCACTTTTTGAAGATATCTTGATAATATATTAATATCTTTTCTTCCTTTTTTTCTTTTTTTATTATTATATATTCAGATTTGCCTTTCTTGATTTTGATTCTATCCAGTACTATTTTAATCATTTTTCTATCTGTTAAAGAGTGTAATATTCATTTTTAATAGGTTCTCATATCTTCTTATCTTTGTTTAAATATTAATTTAATTTCATTCCTTGTTTTTTTTCTTCCAATTTCTGATATATTAGCTTGAGACCTTCTATTATATCTTGAACATCATTTTTTAATAATGTCTAGAAAATATTGAAAATATTGTGCTGGATACAATAGTTTTCTATCTAATAATAAGATTCATATACTTTATTGTACTTGTCAATAACTGTAATCAAAATTTGTAAGCTAGTAATATTTTTATAATTACTACTTTTTTATAGAATATTATTAGATGTAAAGATCTTCTGTATTTTATGAATTTTAAATTATATTTATAGTGTTATATTTTAGTTAAAGCAAATTTAAGTTACTTTGCTTATTTGTTCTTCAAACATTTTTTAGATCTTGTTGATCCAGCTTTCTTTTTCACTATTTTTTAACTCTTTTTATAACAGTAAATCCAGTTTTATATTAAACTTATGTGATACTGTATATTGTCACTGAATGTTTGTCACTATTCTAATATTAATTTCTTTATATCAATTCTTTTGACATGTTTTATTCTAGTCACTTATGCTATGTTTCTTTTGAAAGATCTGTGTTATATAATATTAATATAAGTATAGTATAATTACTATTTGTGATTTCTTTCATGCTTTGATTATTAAACTATAGAATAGAATTTCTTGTTAAGTTTTATAATATTTAAATATAGTCTATATGGCTACTAATTATTGTATCTTGTTATGTTGGAATTTTATTCTTTTCTTTCTATATTACTTATATATTTATAAATCTTTACTAATCTAATATATTGAATAATGGAATTTCTGAATACCAGAAGGGTTTAAAGCTTGCTTTGAAAGATAATGCTCTATCTTTAGCTAGATTATATATCACATTGAAATTTCTTATTACTATTATATAAAAGTTATTTTTATGTTTTTTTTTAATAAAGCTTGTTATGTGTTTTTGCATTTTTTTGCATTTTTTCTTATAAAAAAAAAAAAATATATAAACTTGTATAATACAGATTTTGTTTATTCAATAGAAAATTTAACAATTATTATATATTCTTTTACTTTTTCTATAGATATTATATTTTTTGTTAAATCTTTTTTAACCAAAATATTGATGCTTAATTCAAAACAGATATTCTTATTAGTACTATAGATGTGTAAATATATATCTTAATTATCAAAGGTTCTCTTTACTTTAATCTTAGTTAGCTTTGTTTTATATAACTCTACTATATCTATTTTCTATTTTTATTAATTTCTTTAATAAGGTTATATTGTTTTAATTTTTCAGATATATTCCTAATATTATATATTTCTATTTTTATTATTCACTTTTCTATACCATCCTTTTGTATAAATTGTTCTGTTCTTTTATTATTATTTAAAAATTTAATTTTTTTTATTTACAAAAATATATTAATATCTTGATTACTTTCCAAACAAACATTAAATTTTGATTATTCTGTTTTTCTTATTATTTTTAATTTTGTTTATTGTATTTTACTCTTGTTTTTTGTATTGATTTTGAGAATATTGAACTGATATTCCCTTTTTTGTATGGTTAGAATTTAATTTGTATCTTATTTCTATCCTGTTTTTTCAATTGAATTAATCTATACTTTAAGTTTTATAAAACTAATAGGATTTAAGTAACAAGTTTTCAGATAATAAAAAGATAATATTTATTTAATTCAAGATTTTTTTATTTTTATTATTTTAATTAAACAAGTTTCAATAATAGTTTTTATTATATTTTATAATGATAAACTTTTCAAATTGTAATATAAAGAATTTTAATAGACAAAGGTTCAATAGATAATATGATTAAAAGATTAAATTAAAATAAATAGGTTTTATAAATAGTCAGAAGAAAAAGAAAATCATAACAAAATATTTTTTGTTAAAAAGAAATTTTAGAACATAAGTTTTGAAGAAAACCAAATAAATTTTATTTATTTTTTTTTTTTTTATTTTTTTTTATTTTTTTTATTTTTTTATTTTTTGCACATTTATGCATTTTTAAATACTTTCTCTTTTCTTTTTTAATTTTTTTATAATTTTCTATATTTCAATAATTTAATAAAATATATAGTGATAACAACTTGCTGACTATAAAATATAGTATGAATTAAAAGAATTTTTATTCAAAATCTATTATAGAATAAAATATTGTTTTAAAGGTCAAACTTAGAGGCTTTTAATACCTATGATGTGTTAATTAGACTTGATATGATATTTAGCTATAATATGTATCATGCTGCTTAAATGAATATATATTTTTGTTTCCTTTGATTAATAAACAAACAATTTAGCCTAATTATGGATTGTATAAAAAAAACCTATATACTTGCTATGTATATTTAATTGATTAATAAACTTTTGATCTAACCTGAATACAGGTTATTTGTAAAAATAAAAATAATAATAATAATAATAAAATTTAATTTAATTTAATTCTTAATTAAAAATTACACGTTAATCACTTAACCATTTGCGCGTATTTCAAAAACCTTTATCAGTTATAGAAAACCAATGTATCTTGACACGTTACATTCAGATTTTGGGATTTGAAATTCCAATTTTTAATTTTTCACGGGCCTTGTAAATGAAAAAACTTGGTATTTGTTTTTCGTTGTACTTGTTGCACTTCAATTATTTGTAGTACAATCCTATGTGTACCGACTTTCGGAGAAACGGACCTTGATAAAATATTTTTTTTTTAGATAAAATTATCGATTTTTTCATTAGGGATTGTACACAAATGGCGTTTTGGTTGCACCTCGATTAACGCATAAGATGCGTACCGACTTTTGGAGAAACGGGCCAAGGATAATAGTAACTTAATTTTAACAATTGATTGTTCTTTCGATAAAACTGTCGATTTTACAACAACTTGTTATGGGTGTTTATAGAGAAATGGCGTTTTCGCAATGTTCTTAAGGTTTGAACTATAGAAAAAATCAGCGTCTCTTTGACATCATATTCATAAATTGGCGTTTTTTGCTACGTCACTTGACTGAGCGAAAATTTTGCCGGTGAATAAGCAACCCACAATAGGTCCTTGTCTTCTTAAAACGGTGGTGGTTGTCTATTAGTGCGCTGAATTAAGGGTTAAGCGCTACTAAATTAGCTTACAGTGATGAGAAATATCCGAGTTTAGTATGTGAGCTTAATTTTGTGCAACACATGATACTTGTTCTTTGTTTCAAAAGATTCCGAGAATAGTAATTAGTAATATAGAATTTTCTTAATCACGGGATCACATTTTCTTAGTAAAATAATGCGGCAATAAAACAAGGACTTGTCGTTCGAAATCTTTCTTTGTTAAAATTTTTTCAGTATGTTCGTACGGATCTGTTACACCGCTGCTTTCCTTGTTCCAGCGATCAAAAGTTTTAAATGTGCATGGTATCATCAGATTGATCTTTGAGAACAACAAAATTTTCTTAATAACTAAGTAATGGTGATGTAACGATGAATGATCATTATTTGTTTTTTAAAGAAATATTAGTTATTTTCATTGTCTATCTTTTCTTTACCGATAATTGGTGTAAACACCAAATATTCACACAGATAAAACTTGTGAAATAACAAACAAGTTTTTTTGGAAAGAAGAAATAAAGTTATGTTACATACATTGATCTCATTGGTGAAGTTCTCAGGGAAATGAACGGGCACCAAGACTTATGTAATCATATAACTTATTTAATTCTTTGTGATGTATTCGCACGCTTTGTGTATAAATCCATGACACAAATAAAAAGGTCAATGACGTTTATGAATCTATATATTCCTTTATTATTATTATTATTATTTTTTTTTTTTTTTTTAAAAAATGTATAGAATCAGCCTTTTCCTAAGTGCACGAGTTACCCGTCGTGGCGTCGCGTCATAAGAACGAAATTGAAGAGAGTTTACGTATTTTTTGGCATAATATTAAAGTTGTAATTTTGAAAAGAAAATATTTCCCCATGCACGAGTGTCTTCATACCTCAATCATAAAGGAAACTAGACTTGAAGGATCTTTCCTAGTTACCGGCAAATCCAACAAACATTGTTTCTAAGATCCAATCAGATTCTGAATTGGACAAAGAACACATGGTTTAGTATATTTCCCAAATTGGTCGAACAGCTTTACATGTGTTACGTGTTGTTGAGGATCATCAACCTGCCAACAAGTACAAAAAGGAGGCGTTTTCCCTCAGAATGTCATCAGACGACCAGAAAATAAAAAAAATCAACGGTAAAAAAATCCCCAATATCTTCAAACAAAAAAAAAGAAAAAACTCAAACAAAACCAACCAATAAAAAAAGAACATGTCTTCCTCCACTGATAACAAAGCTCTTCTTTGCGACGTTCTTAAGACACTCTCCGCTGATAGTGAGGGATCCAAGGAGGATTTCTTTTCAAATACTGTTGGAGAAGATTTCTACGCTCCAGAATCGTTTTCACAATTCTTCGGAGGTGAGTTTTCTGAAGAAGATCTCAAAAAGGCGATTGAAAGTCTCCAAGCCGAAAAGAAGAAAAAATCTGAAAAATCGAAGAAAAGTCCACCTTCGGAAGATGAATCCGATGATTCTTTGACTGCCTCTTCCGATGAAGAAGATGTCATCCTTAAAGTCAAGAAGATGTTGAAGTTCAACTAAAATACTTTATACATACATACATATACAGTATACATATACAGTATATACATACAGTATATATAGTATATATATCCGGCATTTTTAAATATTTATCATTCTTTTGCATTCTCATTTCATCAATTGTATCTTTTATAACTAGCATTTCTCTCTTTCATTGTATAGTCTTCACGTTCGTTTATTTTGAAAAATTTTTTAATTCATCATAGAATTTAAATTGTGGTACTTTTTTTTTTTTCCCATCTAACTACGTTGTTCACACACAAGTCATTTTTGTTTATTGTACAAAACCACAAGAATAGAAGGATTTTTTTTATACACATCTTGCTAAATAAACATTAAATATTACGCCATATCGAGCCTATATACGGTAACATTGTACATGGTCTTATGAAATTCTGAATTTGTTCCAGATGTACACGGTATGGTGAATACGGTACTATTAAGTTTCCTGTTTCGCCATTAACGCGAGCCATATGCATGCTCGTATGTTGCACGGGATTACACAGCAGGTGACGTATTCAAATTATGGTGACGTGCGCAAAATTACGATGACGTTGAAAACTGGAAACACACTTGTGGTATACGTAACGTCCACGTACGATAATTTGTCGTTACCAAGCATTCTCGAAAATGCCTTGCGTGTAATTTAAAAAAGAATATAAAGGTGTCCAAGAAACTAATATGCGAAAAATTATAAAAAATCATATTCATATTCATTTGGAATTCAAAAATATAATTATTCACTTTCCCAAAAGTTTCACAAGATGGCAACCGTTAAAGCAATGTATGAATCTGCCATTCGCCGATTCACCATTTCGTCTGACATTACCTGGTCCAATTTAGTTTCTCAACTCCGTGATCTATTCCAAATCCCTAACACTGCCTTAATTAACGTTTCGTATACTGATGAAGAAGGTGATGTGATTAGTGTTTCAAGTGATTTGGAGCTTCAAGAAATTCTCTCTCTCCATTCGGCTGGTAAAATCGTTCGACTTGTAATTACGACTGATTCATCTCGTAATAATGTTCTTGGCGAGATTGGCAAAGCGACAAAAGAAGTTCTCGAGCAATTAAGTATCGAGGAAAATGAAACTATCGATGAATCCAAGCGCGCGAATAAATCGAAAGAGGAAGTAAAGCAAACAAATACCAGTGGCGAATCTTCTTCCCCTAATGTGACCGAGGACGAACCTACAATTATCGTCATAAGACTCTCCCACCCCTGGTGCCGATCATCTTTCGGTGGTCGACGTCATTTCAGGTATCACGGCCAAAGCTTTTATCAACCTTATATTATTAACCGTCCACATTGCTCATTCGAAGATCCTTCGCATTGCCAATCGTCATCACGTGAGCAAGAATTTGGTGATTACGGTAGAGGCCCTAGATGTTATGAATATCATCGACAAAAACAAAATATTTCGTCTGAACAGTTGGCAGAAGGACTCAAGACATTAAATTTTATGGGATTCCCGTCCGACGACAAGAAGTATGAAAAGTTGTTGAGACAGTATAATGGAAATATCGGTCGTGTCATCGACATTTTGCTTGAAGAACAAGGCGATGGATCAAAGGAAAAGCAGGAAGTGCGACCCGAATCTTCGACCTCGGTGATGATGGAGGTTGATGCGGAAAAAAATAAGGAAAGACCTTATGTACTTCATGAATAAGTAAGTTCATAACCTCGGAAGGTTTTCCCGTGCCAACTGTTGCACAATTACATCGAACCATTATAGTAATATTTTTTTAAAGAGTTCTTTGGTACTTTACTTAATTAGATACAATTACATGATTTTTTTTTTATTGTATTCAATGTGCATTTTTGCTATTCAAACAATAAAGTAACAAAGAATTAATTGAATCCTTCCTAAATAGTAAATAGAAAATAAAATTTCCATTGCGTCATGAGAATTACGTAATATACTGCGTGTTTTATACGGTCTTCACGAAAAATTCGAACCTCAAATTAATGCGAAAAGTGAAAACTATATTATCGATTATTCTTCGAATACGAAAAAGTGCAAACTATATTTTATTCTTTTAATATAAATTTAGCGGCATAATAGGTACAGTCATTCATGACCAACTTTTTAAGTTTGCTTGCATATTGTAATTTTAAATATTACAGTTAAACCGGAATATAACGTACCTGTTTATAGTGAAGTCATGGTAAAACATGAGTTATAAGGAATTTTAAAATCTTAAATTCATTATAAATAGAATTAATTTTTAATTCGCAAAAATCTAGTTTTAATTTAATATTTTTGTTCTTTTTTCAATTTATTTGATTAATTAATTTTGATAAAAAATTTTTTAATTAATAAAACTATAAATTTATTAATTTATATATTATTTTTTAAGGATTTTATGTGTTAAAAAATTTTTTTTTCATTATTTTAATTATTTAATTTTTATAATTTTTTTTTTTTTCATTATTTTAATTATTTAATTTTTATAAATTTTTTTTTTCATTATTTTAATTATTTAATTTTTATAATTTTTTTTTTCATTATTTTAATTATTTGATTTTTACAATTTTTTCAAAATCAATTATTTATAAAAAATCTTTATTTTAAATTAAAATTTAAAAAATTTCTCAAGTAAACCTTATTCATTATATTAATAAAAATATACTGCATATTATATATAAAGTTTACAATATTTAATTATTAAATTTTTTATTGATAAATAAAAATAATAAAATAAAAAATTTTTAAAAAACAAGTATTTAATACTATATATCAAAAACTTTATTATTATTATTTTATAAATATATATATATATATTTTTTAACTCTCTGTCAAATTAGTTGTGTATGTTTCATTAAATACTCGTAAGCTATATATATAAAATAAGGTGTCAAAACTAATTTTCTAACTAACTCACTCATTTTGATTATATTACCTCTCTAAATACAATTTCAGAAATAATTTATAGCTTCATTAATAGTTTAAATAAAAATCCTTTCAATTTCTAATATTATTTCCTGCAGATTACTACTGCAGATCACTCATTCGAGTTTTGACAGAGATCAAAATCCAACTACTTCTTACATACTTTACACACTTTAATAAGATTTCTTCCAACTTCTTGTCTTCAATTCTTTTTTCTTCATATAACAATTTTTTAATAGATAGACTTTCTATACATTTACTTTTACTTTCTTGATTTTATAAATATATTAATATTTTTATTTTGTTACATTTATAGATTTCTAACATCTGTTTTCATTTGATCACCTTTTCATATTTAGCATTTCATATTTTCTTTTGGAAGTGATTACATATTTTCTTCTATATTTTCATTATTCATCTTCTTATCTCTTTTTCAATTTTCTTATCACAACATTTCAAATCAGCTATTCTTATGATTAGATCTTTCTCTATTAATTACATACCGAAGTTAAATATATTTTGATTGATTTCTAAAATTATTTTCATCAGTTTTGCTTCTATTTATTAATCTCTTTTATTTTTATTCTATTATCTATTATTAAGTTTAACTTTTTCTCTTTTGATTCCTTTTTTCTATCTTTTAAGGATTTTTTAAATCCTTTAAAATTTTTTTCTATTTTTTTTTACCATATCTTATTTTATTGAGTTTTATAAGCTGAATATTCTAGTAAGTGTTCTATTATTTCCTCTTCTTAACTATACATAATACATTTCACTTACTTATAAAGATCTGATCTTCTTATATTCAGCTTAGTTAATATTAATAGCTCATTATTGATCAACTTAATAAGAAAGCTTTTGTCTTATATGCTCTTAAAAAAAGTATTTCATATATGTTTATTCTTTAGATATTCCCATATTAGGTCTCATATGTATTTATGCTGATCTTGAATTTGTTGATCCCATATTTTATTAGTTCTATTTTGAGTTATCTATTGATAGACTATTACTTTATTATTTAATTTTTTAATAACTTGTTTTATAAAAATATCTAACATTATATCATCATTTAATTTTCATGATAATTTTGAATAAAATAGGATTTTTCCATTTTATTACTGAAAACTTTAGTACTTCTTTGGCAAGGCCATCTACTTTTTTATTGTACTAAATATTGAAATATACTTTAATCTTGATAAGCTTGAGATCTAGCTTCTTTTTCTTTACAAGATTTAATATTTATGTCTACAAAGACCAGTTCTATTTTTTAACTATCTTTTGTAGATCATTCTGGGATTCTCTTTTTTAATAGTTTTTCACTTTGAAATACAAGCTTGACTATCTACATGAATTTTGATCTTGCTATCTACTGGAGCTACTAGTAGTATAGTTACTATTGCTATTAATTCTATTCTAGTGAATAAAAATCAATCAGCTATTCTGGTTTGAAACTTGCTTTCTCTTTCTATCTTTCCTATTTGTATATATACTGCTCTTATCTTTATATTTGTATTTTCATAATTTATAAGAGATCTATACTGCTCTCATCTTTATATTTATACTTCTATAATTTATAAGAGATCTATTAGAGTAAAAGATAATTGGTTTTTTTTTTGTTATACTTAAGTATTTCAATCAAATAGGATTGATAGTACCTTCTTCTATATGATCTTTAATGATGTTTTCTTTTCAATTCTCTACTTCGATCCATAATATTTTTTTATTCAAAGTAATTACTTGATTACTATATATTGTTCTACATATTATTTTTTTCAATGTTTCTTTGGAACTTATAATTTTCAGTAATTAGACTCTTTTGATAAACTTTCTTGTATTGAGATAAGGAACTATATGTATTTTTCTTATACTTGTTTCAATTATGCATTGGTCAACTATAATTGTACCTTCTATGCATTCCTGATATTGAATTAGTTTTGATTCTTAATTTTTAAAGTAACTGATACATTTGAAGTATTCTATTTTAATATGACTTCTAGTATCATCTAAAATCAAATTTTTTATACTACTTGTTACTATTGAAACTTGCTTCCTGTAACTATATAAAGTTTCTGTCAGTTGTTAAAATTGAAATTGAGAGTAGAATATTCTGGACCCATTTATCCATTCTTTTTTCCAAGATTCTATAAGCAGTTTTGGTTTATTTTCCTATATAATCTCAATTATAGATCAATATCATTTTAAATGGATCTTTTACTTGTTTTCTATAAAAGTTAGAGCATTCATCAATTTTATATTTCTCTTGTTTTATAGTCAACAAGTTGATCTATATACATTAGTTTGTTGTTTCTGAGTGATAGAATAACTTTTCAATACTCTTTCATTGATAAGTATTTTTTGATTAAACTATTTCCCTGATTTTATTTAAAAATGTCATTTCATTTTTAGCTTTAAAAAATGATAACTATATCCTTGGTTAGCTTCAGTACTTGTAGCATGAAGTTAACCCTTTCTGAAAGATAATTCAGTAAACCACAAGTAAGCAGATTGTTAGGCTTCCAATATTTAACATGTATTTGCTTGAGTCTAATAATTGTTGTGATTTCAACTAGTTCTAAATTATTTAACCTATTGTTCAGTTCTATTATCCGACTTTTTTTTTGTAGCATTCAAACACCCTTTAAGCTATAAATCTTGAGATGATATATTATACTGTTGGGTATTAATTGATACAGTATGACCTTATTTTTGAACAATTTTTTGTATGCCATTGTTAAAGTGTTGTAAATATTCTAAGACAATATACTATATTACATTTTGAATTCAATTCTTGATATTAATACTCTATTCAAAATGTAAAGAGTTTGTTTATCAGTTAGCTTTTTATTTTTTAGAGCTTTGGTAATCATATTGATTTTCTTAAGCATCCATTCTTTGAGCTTAATAGCTATCTTTTAGTTGTCTATCCAGATTTTCAGAAATCTTGCTTGTTCAGTTCTATCCAATTCTCTAATTATTTCTTTATTGATTACTGCTTATACTTTCTCTAGATAATAATTAGGATTGTTAATAATAACTAGTACTGATTTGTTGCTGTTAATTTAAAAATCATCTGCCTTATAAAAGATTCTTGTTTCTTCTAGAATTTTTTTTATATCTTCCTTGGATTGAACAATCCATATAGTATTATCTATGAAGGCTATTGCTGCATATCGTAACTCTAACTTTCTACTACTAGTTTCTTTCAAATCTGAATTTCAGATAACTGACATTTTGTATTCTTTAGTTTCATTATTTTGAATTTTATATAATAGAGGGTCATAAAATATTTTTTATATCAAAGGTAATATAGCTTTTCCTTAATTGATTCCATTTTTTACAATAATTGTTTTTGTCAGGTTTTTTTATATATCATCTTAAACTCTCTATTACAAAAAAGACTTATTATAATTCAAATAAAATCTTTTGAAATTTTAATTTTTTTTATGATCTTGACTAGTATATTTAGACTAATAATATTATATGCCTTTGCTATGTTTTAAAAAAGAATTAATAGCTCTTTTTTGTTTTCTCTTGCTTTTTTATAGATATTATTGAGGATTTAAATCAGTTCTACCATATATTCTTCTAATAATTCTGCATAGTTGGAACCTCTTAGAATATTATTAACCTTATAAATATTTCCTAATCTATTTGTGAGAATTTTTGTAAAGTACTTTTGTATAACTTCTAGTAATACTATTGATCTTGCATTAATAAGCTTACACTTCCATGGCTTGGATTTTACTATGAAATAGATATAACTTTGTTTTCAGCCA